GCGCCTCTCTCTCAAAAGCGGCACGAAGTTACGGGGCTTGACAGGAAGTAAGCGTCAAGTACGCATGCACAACAGTGAATTTGAAGCTCAGTCGCTTCCTTATGCCCTCATCACTCCCTCTTTACCATAGAGAAAAAAGAGAAGTAAGCATAACCTGTCAGATTTTCTAATAAATTCTGAGATTCGACCTTTTTAAAAAGTGGTCTGTGATCTCTTTTGGGAATTATTGAAAAGGCGTACGTTAAATAAAAGCTGTGATTGCTTAGCAGACATCGAACGGGTAGTCACCCCGAAACTAACAAAAGCACTTTCTTTTTCTACCTCAAATTTTATTTCGAATATTTTAATCATTTAAGATTTGCAACATTCAAAAATTAGATCACGTTGAAAACAACATGTTAGCTGCATATTGCAAATGATATTTTTTGGGACACGGGCAAGGACGAGGATTTTTGAGGAATCCGTATATTCGAATTTCCTTCAGTTGTTTTGTCTAGAATGATCAATGATATGTCAAGACACTTTTTTTAATTTCATGCCTTGTATATAGTTGATTGATAAGTTAGACTATATGATTTGTACTATATAGAGGACTGTAAAAACTGTTTTTATTTTTGCACCATTTTTTATTTTATCATATTTTCTACTCCCAGGAATTCTTTATTTTTCTCACAAGCTACAAGACCAGTTTTAGGGCTTCATTAATGTGCCAGATTAACAAGGTCCTACCTACTCCATCTTGTCACCTAAATTTTCATGCTTTAATTTCCAAGTTCTAATCTCAAGAGAGCTGGCATTATTGAATGGATAAACTTAAAATAATCAGCAATAAATCAAGTCTTTAGAAAACAAGACATGCTTTGCAATTTATTCCTAATTTTGGGGAAAACATCCAGCCATTAATTTCTGTTGATAGTCCCTAATGTTATGTGCTCCTGGCTACTTTCCTTCCTGACCAGAGGCAAGCTCGCCTGACCAATAACCAGCCAAGACACAGTGAAGGCCTTTTGTTCCGTTTATTGCAATAAGCAGGGAGAGAAGCTATCAAAGCTTGGTTCTCTCCCAAGTTCCAACCCAAAATATTTCCTTCTTTATACATCCCTCCTATTTCCCCATTGGCTGAGGTACTATGAGGTTACACTCTTTCCGACCACCTCCTACATATTTCCTGCTACATATTAAATGATACATTACATGTACATTAAAATTAAGAGATAATTTATGCAAGGTGTGTCAATATTAATCAACTAATTGCACATGCTCAGTTACCTGAGTTCTGCCCACCTTTTTAATGACTTCTTAGAAAAATAGGTTCTTTTCTGTTTTGCTAATTATCTTCTCTTACAGATGTTTTTATAGCTTCTTCCTTTCCCACTCTAAGACCCAGCTAATTTTTGCCTACATATTTATCTTACACCCTGCCTTTGTTATCCTTTCCTGATTCTCCCATCTATTATAGTTTTTGGTTCTCCATCAGTAAATTTCCACTGCAGCAAATTCAATTTTAAATTTCGCTTTCAATATTAAATTTTGAAGACATTTCTTTTACTTCTATCACTACCAACCAGCAACACAAAGAGAATGTATCTAGTCCTCAATGAATACTCTATAGTAAATAAGGCAGCAATCAGCTTAGTGAAGTAGTTCTAGGATATATCTATCAAGAATACAGTATGTTATAAAAACAGCAATTTCTATTCCTGCTTCGTGTGTCACAATTTTAGGTCTAAATTAGATGTAATAGTACACACATTGTAATGACACAACCAGGATGAAGTATGAAATGTATTATTGTGAGCAGAAATGATTAATTAGGCATGTACATCAACCATATTCACTCTAGCAAGTGTGCTACCATGCTCTAGCAAGAATGACAAACTTTATCTTTGAACATATAAAGTAATTTATATGTTTATCACAATCAGAGCTTATCTGAGTTAAGGAAACCTTTTGAACAGTTCTGATAGACAGCAGCACATGCACAAGCTTCTGGCCTTTCTTAAATTCAGGTTGTAGGATAAGAATGATTTATTTTCATAGAAAATAAGAACTAGAGTCAGTACTTGATGACAAAAGTGTATCTTATGGCTTGTCAGCCAAAAATTCAATCTGCCCAATATCTCCTAATAAGCTGTATCTGGACAACAGATATACAGGAAACCTTAGCAGGAACTATACAGGAGCCACTACTGTTAATAAAGAATCAGAAATCTTGAAAGTTCAGGAGGGAGAAACACCTCAGACTTTCTTAGGTTTCCCCTTGTGTCCTTGGAAATATTAAATACATGCTTATATTCTCTGTATAGTATCTTCGTTCTTTTTTCTATATGCAGATCTGAATCTACCATGCTCTATGTCTGTGGAGATTCTCAGTCAACCAGGTCATAGTTATCCCAAAGATGCTTTCTCAGGAGGCAACTGGACTTTGTTTTTCTTTGAAGATGTTTCACTTCTCAACCAAGCTTTTTCAGCTCTTACTGGATGGTGGGGAATGAAAGGACTTATATTCCTTGCAGACAGCTGTTCATTTGCATTCTTTTAGTGAGTTGTTAAAGCTACCTGGAGGCTTATCTGTGTCTCTTCAAAGTCAAGTGAGTAGTGCAAATGGGTGTGGAGCCTTCTTGGAACTGTTCAAAGGACTGTGTTGTAGACTGGAGATACTGTAGATGATGTCGAATCCCTCCCCCTCTGTTGAGGGCTGTTCAATTTTGATATAGATGGCCCCTTTTTCAAACCAGCAGCCCTCTGTCCAAAATGTGGACTTTGCTGTCTTCAAAAGGGTGGCCTTTGTCTTTTAAATGCAGATGGACTGCTGACTCTTGTCCTGATGGGTTTGTTCTCCCATGTTGTGCCGTACGTTTATGAAGTTGTTTTGTTTCTCCAATGTACAGATCTGCACATGGTTCATTGCATTATACTGCATATACCACATTGTTGAGTTTGTGCCTGGGTGTTTTATCCTTGGGGTGGACAAGCTTCTGCCTTAGTGTATTATTAGGTTTGAAGTGTGCATGTATATTGTGTTGGTTGAAGATCCTCCCAAGCTTTTCTGATATTCCTGCAACGTAAGAATGACTATGTAGCTCCGTTTATCAGAATATCAGCAGTCCATCTGCATTTAAAAGACAAAGGCCACTCTTTCGAAGATAGCACAGTCCACATTTCGGACAGAGAGGGCTGCTGGTTTGAATGAGGGGTCAAAGAGGCCATCTATGTCAAAACTGAACAGCCCTCTGTCAACAGAGGGGAAAGGATTTGACATCATCTATCTCTAGTCTACAACACAGTGCTTTCAACAGTTCCAAAAAGGCTCCACACCCATTTGCACCATTCAGGTGACCCTGAAAACACAGATAAGGCTCCAGGTAGCTTTAATGATTCACTAAGAGAATGCAATGAACAGCTGTCTGCAAGGAATATAAATCCTTTCATTCCCCACCATCCAGTCAGAACTGAAGAAGCTTCTTGGATGAGAAGCGAAACATCTTCAAAGAAAAACAAGAAAGTCCAGTTGCCTCGTGAAAAAGCATCTTTGGGATTACCATGTTCTATATGTATCCTATTAGTAGTGGACCAGAAAATGGTGCAAAGTGAATAATAAGAAAAGCAAATCTCCAACTGGTACCATTTAGTGCTAATAAATGGAAATGGACTAAAAAAATATATCATAATTTTATGGCTGCTATGAAAAGGCTTTATTTCTTTGAGAAAAAAACTGAAAACACCCAACAAGAAGGAAACATATGAGACCAGAATGTGAATACTTATTGTGAGAACCAGCATAGAAACTTAACACCGGGTATAAAAGTTGGAACAATGCATTGGAAAGCAGAGATTTATCTACAAAGAGCTCTTTGGAAATCTCCCAACCTCTTTTATTTACCTGGGCAGCAATTAAGAAGAACTGAAATATTTTATTAAATTATTAACTAACTCAAAATAAATGATGTGCAAGCATCTGAAGTTGAATCAACAACATTCAAACAGACAAAATACATACATAACATTTTGGCTAAAACAGTATTAAAACAGAATACTTAAAATGCTTGCTCAGCTACCTACATGTACAAAAAAGAGATTAATAACTGAAGTAATATTTTTTTTTTTAAAATAGTAGCATAAAAGTTTTCTGGAAACTGTTTACAGTTTCATGTCAAACTTGAGAATATATACAATATAGTAACTGATATGGCATGTATATCCCAAAGATATAAACATGTAAATAACCAAGAGTTATCTATACTCAATTATCTGTATGGCTATCCATACTCAAGGCAGCTCCAGTTGCTCTTAATGCCACCACACAAAACCTGGTCACCTAGTAAGTTTTTTCAGGATATCAGAAAATAGAAATTGTACAAAATTTAAGTTGGTGAATCCTATTTTGATAGTCACAAAGTGGAATACTAGAGGAGTTTGGATATAAAAACAGCAGTTCAGAACATGTTTATAATTTCAACTTATCATGAGGACATAATCATAGTCGGTATGGTGTCTTTTTGTACTTTCTAGTACAAAGTGGTATACTAATGTTCTCACAAAGTGGTGAGAACATTACATTTGGGCTAAGGTGATGGTACTTTCACCAGCTTAGTTTTGATGGTTTATATGAAACACGCATAATCTGAGTGGGGTTGTTGCTTGGTCATAGCCCATAGATAGTAAATGGGAGAAAATCCAAGGAGTGAGAGCCTGGAGATGTGTTTCTAGAATGTAGCTGAAACTGATCCAACTTATATTACTGCATGCTCTGATATTGCATTTAATTTTTTTTCTATATATATTTTATATCAGCTATCAAACTGAAAACAGTTTTTCTGCAGTTCTACAGTTTTTTTGAAAGCCTTCTAAAGATACATTCAAGAACATTTATAACCCTTACCAGGCAATGCCTATAATTATAAAACAAGGGAAATGCTAAATCCAGTACCACAGAAATATCTGGTTAGGAGCAAAAAAACCTGTCAAACTGCCAAGTTTTAACAAGAGGACATTGGAACCAGAGGTGATTCACTTGTTTTTATTTTTTTAAAAGTAATGATAAAAATTACATGTGAGATACATTTAAAGACATCTCAGGATGTCACCAGAATGGATGCTGTCTAGGTTCTGCAGATCCAGCCAAGATGCTGGAAAGCTGAGTAAACAGTGATCCCTGCCAAACAAAGATGAGCAATGGAACCAAGGACTCCACGATTTCTCTTATTAGGATCTATAAAGGGAAGACAGAACATTCACATGGCATAATACAAATAGAAACATTAACAATGCAAAATATATTTTTTGTTGAAATGCTTTTTTTATTGTCCAATAAGTTCTGGATGCTTCAAGGAAATTGTTGTCATCTTCATATATAAAATAGCGTCCTTCACAGAAATAAAGTCATTACTTATTTATATGATATTACAGACTATCTTGAGCAACCTTCTATGTGTCATTTTTGTTATGTGGGTCTCTTACTAGTTTGTAATTCCTATACGCTTTCTACTCATGGCACATGCTTTCCAATTTTAAATAAAGGGCTAGGTATCTGCCTAGCATTTTTAATTCATGAAGCATTGTTTCCCCCAAACACTCCTAATAGGATGGTCACTTATTACATTTTCCATAGTTAGCTCTTTCTACATATAAACTGGGCAGTTCACCCAACTTCTCCTATTCCTCTTTCCCTTGATTTTAGAAAGTTCTCTAGAAAACATGCAGGGGTGTCTTTGGGGCTGGCTGTGTACAAGAAAAAGCTAGGCAACTAAACATTCAGATAAACACATTCAACTTTTCCTCTTGTCTGTTTTTTCTAACTATGATTTTTCATTCTATTCCCTGGGGAATACTAACACATAATATAATGTGCAAATTCATTTTATCACTTAGCATTATGTATAGATAAACCCAACATCTTATTTTTGACTGCAAATATTTTCTGGGAATAATACAATCTACATATATCCATTATATAGTGCAAGCCAGATTTTTAAGCAAAATTTGCTGAATAAACCAAGAACTGATTAGAATCACCCTGGATTCTCACAATGCACACAGCCACATTAAAATACACGTCTTAGCAAGTTTCATGAGCCAGTCACTCTAAATTTGGTCATGTTGGTTTTAATAACATTTTTAAAAAAATAAAAAATGCTTTGATACAATCTGTGAATTTAGTCTCATTTTACCAGTAATGGTCTAGGTAAATTAAGGTATGTTTTTCTCTATTTTTTTCCATTTTCTGAGGAAAATATAGGACCAGCTATACGGTCCAAAATTAAACTTTAACTATGAATTCAGACTAATCTTGACAGAACAACTCGAATTTTGTAAAACAGTATCTGGCTGTCAAGTGAAGCAGGAGTTTATAAAAAACACCAAAGAGATGAAAACGGCTTTGCAAGAAATGATTGTAACTCCTATATAAGGACTCACCTCCTGTATAATAGCCATAAGCATACAGTATTCTTCCAATTATCCATGCTATACCAAGTCCTGTAGCAACACGCTATGAAGAATGAATAATTGCACATGAAAGGATGTTTACAATTAAATGGATATTAAATGGACAGTCAATCACTACAATTAAGATTTATACTATGGGAGAATTATTCTGGAAAGATGTGGTTATACTAGCCAAGAAAGTAAATAAAGACAATTACAAACTTACTCCACTATTTCATTTGCTCCAATTCTTTTTAACTCCCTGTATTGGGCAAGTGCAAAAATTATGAAGTGACATGATCAGTCCAATTAAACTTGCTCTCTTTTACACTGTATATCTTTTACCTTTTTATCCCTTCTTTCCAACTTTCTCTTTATCAAGTTACATTGGAAGCTTCTTTAATAGTTTGAATTTATTTTGATGGTGAAATGATTATTGACAAAGAGAGCACATTTACTGGTTAAAAAGATCAACTTTTGTGGTCTGGTTCATTTTCCTAAGATGTGTTGGCAATAGCTGTCATCAATATCAATCCAAAAATATTTATTTCAGAGATAATCTTCCAGTTTTTTAAACGAATAATTTTGGTCTAATTATGGTCAATTGAACATCCATCAAGCTACCAATAAGAAGTTCCTGTATTTCTTATTTTTCTGCAACGCAAGAGTGCTAATTTAAAAACCAACAAATTGCAAATCAGAATGCAATATTTTACACTGATACCAGATGCTGATTACTGTATCAAAGTTATTTATTAAATTTGTTTGCCACCGCCCATTTCACCATGAGGTGACTCTGGGTGGCTTATAGCGTTAAAGAATAAAAAAATACAACAATATGTATACATTAAGAATAACACATTAAAAAGAATAAAATACTATACAAATACAAATTATCAGCTATAACTAAAAGATAGATGGGTTTGGATATACAACATTAATTCATCTGCCTCTGGTTTTACTATATTGTCTTAAGAAGCATTTTGGGGTTTAAAAGATACACCAACTTCCATTGAAAAAATTACTAATCATATCCAGACCTAAATATTGTTCTTACCGGGTAATAGATCCCACTGATTCCAAGAAAGAACAGGAAGGAGGGATATGTTTCCAAGCTAAAAACAGTCAGATTTTTAAATACACTTCATTAATGGATTTTACAAATTTACATCCAACTGAACATTATACAGAACCTAACATATCCCCCAAAATAAAGCAGAATATTCTGCTATACCGTGATACCTTTAGCTTGCCTGCAATCATAATAGTAAACACAAGCAGATTCATCTTACAATTTATAATTTTGCTCTGTTTTTATATTCTTGGTTGCTGTCTTCCCAACCATGTGCCCTGCACCTGTCTAGAATTACATCCAAATGACCAATAGTAGCATTTCATAATGTATAAACACAGAACAAGGAACATGACAGCCTGCCCCATTTATGTCCTTAGGAGAAAAGATATATCATGAGTGCTGCATCAAAATAACCAATATAGATTTCCTCTCTAGTTTACAGTGGAATTCAGATGTTTTCTAGGCACCAAATCTGGAAGAAACCAGGAATAAGCACAATGCAATACAGACTACTCACGTGTTCTGGTGTGCCCTCTGGATACAGTTAAAGATATGCCCATTTTCAGGGTCTGTACTGTACATGGTTGGATACTATTGAGGGAAAAAATTATATACATATATGATTTTATATATATGCTGTATAGCTATATAAATAATACATGAATTCAAAACTTACAGTACATGATATTCTAAATGGTCATGGATGTATATTTGTTGGCATCTCCTCAATAAAAACCTGCTTTTTTTCTTAGACTTACATAGTAGATATGTAAATTAGCAAAACTAAAATTTAAAAATACATTAATATAACAAATAATGATTAAATAATAAAAACACATAAATAAAATATTTTAATAACTGTATTAGCATGTTTCTGCCCAGTTTTGTTATGAAAGTAAAAATTAGATATATGAGAAGCATAAAAATATCACAGAACCATAGAATTATGAAGCTGAAAGCAATCAAAAATATCATCAGTCTAACATTCTATAATGTACAGGAAGCCAACCATTTCCATAAGACGGGGCAGATCAACATTCTCTTAGAAACCTTCAGAAATGGACAACTCACGACTTCCATTGATTGACCTTCTACTGTTGTACAGATCTTGCCCCCTGGAAGTTTTAATGAAAGAAGTGAGAGCCATAAAACCCCTTTGCTCATTCCCCTTCCCCTTCGTAGTATGACAGAATCCAGAGAGGGCAGAAATGGAGTTTTCCATAGTCGATAACTAGAAATGAAATATAATTGGATTCTGACATCCTGCCCCCTTAAAAATAAGAGAGATCCACCTGAAAAGAAAACAAAACAGGTATAAAAGTTAGTCTGGTTTGTTAGAATACTCTGTATGAAACTTCTTTAATAGCTTCGGGGCTCTGACATGATGTTTACGGACCCACTCGTTTTGTGAGGCAGGGAGGTGTTTCCATGCTACTAGGTACTGAGTTGCTCCATGATATCTCCTAGAATCTAGGATTTCCTTTATCTCGAAGTGTTGTTCGCCCTCCAGCATGATTGGAGGTGGTGGGGGAAGGAATTTTTATCCCTCTTAGGGACTATTCAGGGACTGACATGTAACGAACACCCTCAAGGGAATGGACAGGCGGAACATTCGAACTCAGTACTTGAGCAATATTTAAGATGCTTTCTTAATTTCCAACAGTCTGATTGGACGGACCTACTCCCCTTTGCAGAAGTGGCCTACAATAATGCAGTCCACTCCAGCACAGGTTACACTCCTTTTCAAATAGTTACCGGTCAAAGTTTCAACCCCATGCCAGAACTAACCCCAAATGAACCGGCAATCCCATCACTGAAAGAATGGATGGAATAATTACAAAACACCTGGCCAATAGTTAGAAAAGCCTGACTAGATGAAGCTAGGCAGGCATATAAAGCACAAGCCGATAAAAAAAGGGTTGAGCCTACACCATTCATTATAGGAGAAATAGTGTACTTATCTACAAAATACCTAAAATCCCTACAACCTTATAAAAAACTTGGACCAAAATATATAGGGCCTTTTCCAATCAAAAGAATCATAAACCCAGTAGCAGTAGAATTAGAATTACCCCAAACTCTCAGGCAAATACACCCAATTTTTCATTGCAGTTTACTGAAAAGAGAGCATCAGTCATCTTTACGGCCAAAATCCCCCCCCCCACCACCTCCAATCATGATGGAGGGCGAACAACACTTCAAGATAAAGGAAATCCTAGATTCTAGGAGATATCATGGAGCAACTCAGTACCTAGTAGCATGGAAACACCTCCCTGCCTCACAAAATGAGTGGGTCCGTAAACGTCATGTCAGAGCTCCGAAGTTATTAAAGAAGTTTCATACAGAGTATCCTAATAAGCCAGACTAACTTTTATACCTGTTTTGTTTTCTTTTCAAATGGATCTCTCTTATTTTTAAGGGGGCAGGATGTCAGAATCCAATTATATTTCATTTCTAGTTATCGACTATGGAAAACCCCATTTCTGCCGTCTCTGGATTCTGTCATACTACGAAGGGGGATGAGCAAAGGGGTTTTATGGCTCTCACTTCCTTCATTAAAACTTCAAAGGGATTGAATATGGATTTCATCAAGAGGACTGACCATAACGAAATGGCCATCAGCTTTCATGTACTCCTCTCTGAAGTCTCCCTTCCACCGGCCGTGAGGAAAAGGGGGTGGAAATGTAACGCCTGGGATTGTCGCTGGAAGGACGGTGGGATGGGGGATGCTTGGGAACACTTAAAACCTTGAATGGTAGGGGTTGGCCCCTCAGGTCCTGTCTAGAACGCCTGCAACATCTTCTCTTAATAAAGATGCCTGTTGGAAGAAATATTCCAAGAGTTCTGTCTTCTTAAGATGCAAAGTGAGGTGGGTCCTCACATCTACAGAGCTGCACTACAATCATTACTTCTGGTTCTAACTACTTGTCAAGGTTGAACTGCTAAGATTCAACTGCTAACTTCTATTGCTATTCAACTTGCCATAGAAATAGGGGGGAGGGGTAGAAAGCCTAGGGAGGAAACGAAATTCTAAGAAGCTGTCCACAGACCATGAGAACCTACAAGAATGCCACGGTCACTAATGCAGGTGTCTGTCGGAGAAGTGGACTGTTCCCAGAACAAACCAGAGATATATGATTGGATAATCGAATACCTGGTGGGTAGAGGTTAAGGGAAGCTAGGCAAAATTTCACACAGGAAAACCAGAGCTGGTTTTGCTTCTTCAGTTCTGAGATGTGCACTCAATAAAGTTTTATCCTTTATGACATGTCAAAGCCTTGAAGATTCCTTGATTTTGAGTTCGCTAGTTGTACAGTTGACATTAAACCAGCTCACTAATGTTATGAGTGCAGCCTACTCAGATGTAGCATAGTGGATTGTAGCATAGTGATGTCAGGAACCAAGAAGAAGATCGATGCCACAGCCAAGCCTGGGCTGATACCTCCTCGGGAAGTACTGGCATCGGCCCAGGTGGACTTTGGGACATAGCCAGTGGTAATGCTGTCCAAAATGAGAGTGGAGAAGACGAAGCAGCTGCTGGTACAAGAAGAGAGAACTATGTCAGGGTCCCTCTACACTGGCCTGAAAATCCAATGGACAGGCGGTATGGAGAAAGCTGTGAAGATGGAGTTCTCCCTAATCCCACAGGGGGTTGAGATAACCCAAGGAAGCAAGTGGAAGGCCAAGAGGGCTGCAGAGTGGGAAGAGTCAGCAGTGTGGAAGCCTCTGATCACCTCCCACAGCATCATGAGATGTTTGTTGAGGTGGAGATGCGAGGAGCGAAGTAGGTGAAATCCCAAGCCCGGGGGACAGCACTTGGAATGGGTCAGACTATGGTGACTTCATCTCCTTCTTTGCCCCAACCAATGGCACTAGATCAGGTGTGTCGGGATGGCAGGGAACAGGAGAATGGCTGGGATTTTACCAGCAGCCGCCAGGCAGCCCCGCCAGTCCATGCGGCAGGGAGAGCTCCAGCCCACACCACCCAGCAAGTTGTAGAAGTGCCGCCCGGCTACCTGCTAGTCCGTGATGACTGTGAGCCACTGCCTTTGAAAGCCACGTTTGACAGACGGACAGAGAAATTCCTGAACCAGGTATGGATCTACCTATTTATTTATTTATTTATTTTATTTATTTATATGCCGCCCAATCCCAAAGGACTCAGGGCGGCGTACAAAATTAAAACAATCATCGAGAATAAAACAATAAAATAATTCAATCATACTGCAAGTCCGATCATGTCCTGCCCCCCCCCGGGGACATCAGCCCCAGGCCTGCCGGAACAGGAAAGTTTTAACGGCTTTCTTAAAGGCCGGCAGGGTGGGAGTTGTTCGAACCTCGGGGGGAAGTTGATTCCACCAGGTCGGAGCCACCACAGAAAAGGCCCTTCCCCGAGGGCCCGCCAGCCGACATTGTCTGGCCGACGGGACCTGAAGGAGGCCCAATCTATGGGACCTCACCGGTCTCTGGGAGCTGTGCGGCAGAATGCGGTCCTGTAAGTAACCTGGCCCTATGCCATGAAGGGCTTTAAAGGTGATAACCAACACCTTGAATTGCGTCTGGAGACCCACAGGAAGCCAGTGCAGCTCGCGGAGGATAGGTGACACGTGGGCGTACCTTGGCGCGCCCACAATCACTCTCGCGGCTGCATTCTGAACCAACTGCAGCCTCCGAACGCTATTCAAGGGTAGCCCCATGTAGAGCGCGTTACAGTAATCCAGTCTTGAGGTGACAAGGGCATGAGTGACTGTGAGTAAAGCCTCCCGGTCCAAATAAGGCCGCAACTGGTGCACCAGGTGAACCTGGGCAAAGGTCCCCCTGGCCACAGCTGAGATATGTTGTTCCAAATTTAGCTGTGAGTCAGGAGGACACCCAAGTTGCGTGCCTGCACTGAGGGAGGTAAATTTACCCCCCCCCCAGGACTAATGATGGACCATCCAGTTGACCTTTGGGAGGCAAGACCCAGAGCCACTTGGTCTTGTCAGGGTTGAGTCTAAGCCTATTCACCCCCATCCAGACCCTCACATCTTCCAGGCACCGGCACATCACATCGACTGCTTCACTGAAAGGACACGGGGTGGAGATATATAATTGGGTATCATCCGCGTACTGATGATACCTCACCCCGTGTCGCCGAATGATCTCACCCAGCGGTTTCATGCAGATGTTAAAAAGGAGGGGGGACAGGACCGAGCCCTGAGGCACCCCATGATCGAGGCGCCTAGGGGTCGATCTCTGTCCACCCGCCAGCACCGACTGCGACCTGTCAGAGAGGTAGGAGGAGAACCACCGCAATACGGTGCTGCCCACCCCCTCTCTGAGATGACGCAGAAGGATACCATGGTCGATGGTATCGAAAGCCGCTGAGAGGTCAAGAAGCACCAGGATAGAGGAGTGACCCCTATCCCGGGCTCGCCAGAGGTCATTGGTCAGTGTGACCAAAGCAGTCTCAGTGCTGTAGCCGGGCCTGAAACCAGATTGAAAAGGGTCCAGATAATTAGTTTCATCCAAGGATCGCAAGAGTTGGGACGCCACCACCTTCTCTACAACCTTCCCACAAAGGGGAGGTTGGAGACAGGACGAAAGTTCTTCAAAACAGCTGGGTCCAGGGAAGGCTTCTTGAGGAGGGGCCTCACCACCGCTTCCTTTAAAGGTTGCGGGAAAGACCCCTCCATCAAGGATGCATTGATTATCGCCTGGAGCCAGCCTCGTGTCACCTCCCTACTGGCAGAAACCAGCCAGGAGGGGCACGGGTCCAATAAACAGGTGGCGGCATTCATTGCCCTCACGGCCTTGTCCACTTCATCAGGGGTCACAGGCTCAAACTCGCTCCAGATAACATGACTAAGACCAGCCCCGGGCAACTCGGCTGGCACTGCCCAGTCGGAGTCCAGGTCTCTCTGAATCTGAGCGATTTTGTCCGAGAGAAACTGAACAAACTCCTCAGCTCTCCCCTGCAAGGGTTCCTCCGCCTCCTCCACTTTAAGAAGGGAGCGGGTCACCCTAAACAGGGCGGCTGGGCGAGATTCTGCGGACGCAATAAGTGCGGAAAAGTGAACACGCTTTGCCGCCCTTATCGCCACTAAATAAGTCCTAAGATAGGCTCTTAATAGTGATCGGTCAGATTCAGAGTTACCTACAGTGGCATGAAGCAATGTTCCCAGATGAAGGGACCTGTGTGAATGCCATCACTATGAATCTGGAAGAAGCCGCTGAATGGATAGTGTTGCTCCACAATGAGGGAGCTCCGGAACTGGGAAATATCAATGCCTTCCTAGAGGGGCTCCAGGCCAGACTCTGGGATCCCACACAAGCCCACTGGGCGAAATCCAAAAGTCACTCCATAAACCAGGGGAACCAGTCCATGGCTGAGTACATTCAGTTTTGCAGCCTGGCTGGGAAGGTGAGAGTGTGGCCAAAACACCTACTGGTCTACCAATTTTGAGATGAGCTAAACAGAGAGGTGTACCAGAATTGCCTGCCCCGGGGAATTCCTGATGACCTCCAAGTGTGATATCAGCTGGCCATCACAGTAGAACTGGATCTGATGGAGTATCAGCGACATGCAGTGCCTGAGAGCTGTCCCACTGAAGCCAAGAGAAGTGCCCACCAACACGTAGAGGGGAAGGACCCCCTGCTCCAATCACAAGACAGAGTCCACGTCGCTCCACAGGAGCTTTCTTCCGATGTGAGAAAGAAGGCCACAGGGCAGCCAATTGCCTGCCCCCCAACCTACATCGATACCAAGGACCCCGAGCCAACCCAAGCCAAAGAAAACTCCGAAGATGATGGAGAAAATGCGAGCAGCGCCATAGGTCGTGGAGGTCTCCCCCCAATCAAGCAAAGGGGAGGGAACTCCGACCCTCAGCAAGCCTGGACTGGTGTTCTACGAGAGTGACAATGAGGGGGAAGATGATCTGATGGTAAGTGGCACCATTACCCCATCGACTGCCCAGGTGGAGGTGGTAGTGTCCCAGTCGGGGGGGGGGTCTTCATCCTCTGTTAGACTCAGGGTGCACTTGCTGCTTGATCAGCCTGAAAATGATAGATTTGTTGGGATTAAGGCTTAAGAGACTGAAGCAACCCATGAAGTTTGAGCAGGTGGATGGTTTGCTTACTGGGGGCGTGGGATGTCTGCAACTTGCCTGACTGAGCCAGTAAGCCTAAAAGATGGGGAGCCATGAAGAGACTAGCCAGTTTATTATAGGCCCAAAGATGGCAGAAACAATGATACTGGGGTTCTCGTGGCTGAAAAAGTGGAACCCGTCAATTGACTGAGGAAGTAACAAGTGGTGACTGAAGAGTAAAGTCAAGAAAAGGCTGGGAATGGAGAAACCGTCAAAAGTTAGGCAAATGCGATCGGCTGTGAAAGTGGAACCAGTTAATACGCTACCAGAGTTCTGAAGGAACTGGCAGATGTTATCTCAGAACCATTGAAACATATCTTTCAAAAATCCTGGAGCACTGGGGAAGTACCTGAGGATTGGAAAAGGGCTGATGTGGTTTCCATCTTCAAGAAAGAGAAAAAAACAGACCCAGGAAATACAAACCAATCAGTCTAATATCAATACCTGAGAAGATCCTGGAAAAGATAATCAAAAAACAGATCTGCAAACAACTAGAAGCAAACAAAGTTATAACTAGTAGCCAGCACAGGTTTGTTAAAAACAGATCATACTAAACCAATCTTGTTTCATTCTTTCATAAAGTGACTAAACTACAGTAATAGACCAGCGAAATACTGTGGACATAGTATACTTAGATTTCAGAAAGGCATTTGATAAAGTAGACCACAACCTATTCCTTGGTAAGCAAGAAAAAGGTGGAATAGATAACATCACCACCAGATGGATCTGTAACTGGCTGGCAAACTGTACTCAACGAGTAGTCCTCAATGGCACTACATCCATATAGAGAGAAGTAAGCAGTGGGGTACCACAAGGTTCCGTCTTATGCCCAGTACTCTTCAATATTTTCATCAATGACTTAGATGAGGGAATTGAAGGGGAACTCATCAAATTTGCAGATGACACCAAACTGGTAGGAGTAGCCAACACCCCAGAAGACAAACTCAGGATGCAAAAAGATCTTCACAAATTTGAGCAATGGGCCCTATCCAACAAAATGAGTTTCAATGTGGAGAAAAGCAAAGTTTTACATTTAGGCAGGAAAAACCAAAGGTCCAAGTACAGACTGGGCGAGACCTGGCTTAAAAACAGTAACTGTGAGAGGGATCTTGGAGTGCTAGTGGACAATCACTTGACTATGAGCCAGCAGTGTGCAGCAGCAGCCAAAAAAGCTAATACCATCCTGGGTTGTATAAACAGAGGCATAGAATGAAGATCATGCAAAGTATTAGTACCGTTTTATAAAACCCTGGTAAGACCACACCTGGAATACTGCAACCAATTTTGCTCACCATATCACAAAAAAGATGTTGAGAGTTTGGAAAAAATTCAGAGAAGAGCAACTAAGATGATTAAAGGCCTGGAGACTAAAACATAAGAAGAAAGACTGCAGGACTTGGATTTGGTTAAAGAAAAGAAGAAATAGGGGAGACATGATAGTAGTATTTCAGTATTTGAAGGGCCGCCACCAAGAAGAGGGGGTCACGTTATTTTTTAAAGCACCAGAGGGCAGGACAAGAAACAAAGGTTGGAAAAGAGAGAAGCAACCTGGAATTAAGGAGAAATTTCCTGACAGTGAGGACAACTAACTAGTGGAACAGCTTGTCTCCAGAAATCGGGGCGCTCCATCACTGGAGATTTTTAAGAAGAGTCCAGTCACTTGTCTGAGATGGTATAGGTCCTCCTGCTTGAGCCAGGGGCTGGACCAGAAGACCTCCAAGGTCCCTTCCAGCTATATTCTATTCTACTTAATGATCCACAAGTTGGGGCAGCTGGGACTGTAGGGATTGCTGTTGCTAAGTGATACAGTCCCATGGTATTGTGTTTTACAACTACTTTGCTAAGTGATGGAAATTACAGCCTCAGATGTGATTGTAATGACTTGAGAAATGCCTTATCTCTTTACTGCCACTTACTGACTCTACTCATTTCTGCAGCCCAAATTTTTCACTTTATCTTTTAAAAGGTAGGTGGTATGGATCCAATTTATTGGAGCATAATCTGTGTCCTTAAACTAAAGTCACCTTAGAGCAGGCATGTCAAACTGCCGGCCTGCAGGACGGATGCGTCACGCCAAAACTGTGCCCTCCCATTGCCAGCAATGGAGAAAAAGTCACAATATGTCGCGCAACATCACGTGACATCGCAAGTTTGACATGCCTGGCTTAGAGGGTTAAGGCCCCCTCTATATAAATTAGGTTGATAGATTCTTACTGGGCCTTTTAATGGCTCTGAATTCCTTTACCCATGGGTTATGAAAGTTTTTAAACTGGTTACTTGTTTTACCTCTTGTTTATTTTTTATCATTATACAATATTTTAATTGTTATTTTTTAAAATACTGTTTCCTGAAAGGTGAAGCACAGTATTTTACATAATTCAACTTGAAGCATTCACAACATTTCTACACACACACACACACACACAATTTCTTTTCAGGAAATGCTACAGTTTCTGCCTCTAGAAATAGCTAAGTAGGGGAATTCTGGGAAAATCACCCATGCTTACCTCAACATGATATTTCTTGCGTGCTTTCCCCACATTTACTGCAAGGTGTGTTATCAAGACAAAGCTGGCAGCACCAGTTAAAATCACATAGCCATATTCTTTTGAGAAAACCACCATCCTGGCCCTGAAGAAAGTTAAAAGTAGTAAATTAGTGTGTTTTCTGTAAGCAGCCTTTAAAAAAGAACAATTAATAAAGAAAAACAGGCCAGCCTCCTCTTACTCTCCTAGTTTAAACTTTAAACACTACCATTGTCTTGCCCTGTGCTCTCTTCTGCACTTCCATGACTATCATAGAACTTTAGACACATTTTTTTTTTTTTTGCTGGGAGGTCCAGAAACACTATACAACTTTGGAGTTATCTTCTTGAAGGAAACAATTGTGTGCTGCATAAAATGTTAATTAGACTATGTTTCGGCTAAAAGAAAGATACTTTCCTCCCATAATGAGAAGCTGAAGCACGCCATATATAGCTGCAAGCTCTAAACACCTACAGCAACCTGGAACGAAGCATAAATTTCTTGACAATGAGAACAACTAAGTTTCAAAGCAGAACCCAAAAAGGAAGAATTTGGCCTCAAACAATGCATTTTATAGGGACAAAAATAAGTAATGGCGATATCTATAATTTGTGAGAAATAGTGCATGCTCACCAAATGCTTCTTTAAAATACGGTTGGCTAGTCGGGAACAATATGAAACCGCTTCCAGACCTCCCGCAGAAGGTATTGTAGAGAGCGGATAGAACGAAAGTCTGCAGGGACGATAAATTCAAGGGCTCAAACGCCTCAAACGCCCGCTGCATAACCAAGGTATGGCAAAGAGCAATTCCCCCCCCCTCCCCGGGGAAGAACAGGCAAAGAAAGCGAGCTTACGACGATCAGCGGTCAAGTCCCCCACTAGCGGCCTTCAAAAAACTTCTTTCCCTCCAAGCGGGCAGGAGCGACCCCTACTGCCCCAGCTCACCGTTCTCTGCGAGCTGATTCGGCAATCAAACAGCCAAGGCAGTAGGACCGGATCCCCGCCGCTCAGTCGAATCACCCTCCTTCTCTTCGCGAGAAGTCCAACTCCTGCCCGCGCCAGGAAAACCTGAAATAGCTCCGCCCCGAGCAGAAAGAGGTTCCTGTGGGCACCACGAGCTCGTCCTCTGACTGTAATGTTCGTCAGAAATGTTAGACATGATAGTCTTAGTGCTGATTGCTTTCCACTCTTGCAAACTATGCTAAAATGGATGCATCTTGCACTACATCTCCATTACTGTATTATGTTATTAAAGGGGCAAAGTTCCACAACACAGGATATACATGTAGGTATGCTCACGTGCAAATACTAGTGAAAGATGAGGCACACTTGCACAAATTAAAAAAATAAATTCCCACATGTTGATATTTTTGAGTTATTCTCTTTAAAAAAAACTACAAATCCATCTAGAGAGGGATAAGAGCTTGTACACTGAAATCCAAACACTCAAGGTTCAATTTATTTTATGCATTAAATAAATTCCCTGGTACACCTGAGTACTGTATCCCAAATAGTCTTCCTTTCAACCCAGTCTGGTTGCATTTCTAGCTTTGTTAGTGCTTACTTGGTGTAGCAGAAAAATGAGATGTGACCCTTCCATGATGATTGTTTATTTCTCTTTCCAGCAGGTAGACTGCAGGTCTGATTGCCCTGTCATTCATTTTCCACAGCAGGAGTCCCCCCCCCCCATTATTGGCCCAAGAGGATGCAGGATTCGTATCAGGATTGTTGGAATGTTGCAGGAAACCAGGACTCAGAATGTTAATAGAATCATAGGGCTGGAAGGGACTTGGAGGTCTTCTAGTCCAACACCCTGCTCAATGCAGGAGTCCTTATACCATCACAGACAAATAGTTGTACAATCATTTCTTGAAAACTTCCAGTGATGGTACATCCACAATTCTGTGAGGCAAGCCATTCCATTGGTTAATTCTCACTATCAGGAACTTTTTCCTTAATTTCAGGTTAGATCTCCCTCTGATGACCTTCCATCTATTGCTTCTTGACCTGCCCTCAAGTGTTTTGGAAAATAAGTCTATCCCCACCTCTCTGTGGCAGCCGGTCATATACTGAAAGACAGCTATCATGTCACCCCTAATTATTTTCTTTGTTAGGCTAGATATACCTAGTTTCTTTAATATACCTAGTTTCCTCATATGATTATTAGATTCTTTTCCATATTAGCTGCTCTTGTCTGCATTCTTTCTTTTTTGTATCATGGTGGCCAGAATTGGATGCAGTATTCCAAGTGTGGTATCATAGTATAATATAAAGCTGTACTATTATTTCTTATGATTTTGATGCCATTCCTCTGTTGAAGCAATCTAGGACTGAATTAGATTTTTTGGCAGCTGCTTATACTTAAATGGTGGGATATCTATGTCCTCTCACAGTTACTATTATTGAACCAGGTACTGCCTATTCTATACCTGTGCATTTGGCTTTTTCCTGCTGAAGTGCAAGACCGTACATTTCTCACTACTGAACTGCATCTTGTTAGCTAGAGCCCAATGCTTAAATCTGTTAAGATTCTTCTGAATCTCGAGTCTGTCCTTCAAAGTGCAAGATCTCATCTTTTTTTATAAATTTCAAAATGTTTGAAATGCTTTGGGCGTTGCTTCTCAGGACCTCTGCAGGTTGTACTATAGTGGAATCCAATGAATTTTGGGATGGTTTAGGAAAAAGAAGAAGAATCAGAATAGAGCTGGAACAGACCTTGGAGGTCTTCTAATCCAGCCCCCTGCTCAAGCAGGATACCCTATATCATTTCAGGCAAGTGGATGTCCAGTCTCTTCTTAAAGATCTCGAGTGATGAAGCACCCATAATGTCTGAAAGCAAGCTGGTAAATTGTCCTCACTGTTAGGAAGTTTCTCCTTAATTCCAGATTACATCTCTCCTTGATTAGTTTCCATCCATTGTTTCTTGTCTTGCCTTCTGGTGCTTTGGAAAATAAATCGATTCCCTGCTCTTTGTGGCACCTCTCAAATACTGAAATACTGCTGTTGGCTGTAAAATAGAAATACTTTAAAAGAAATCCAATCAGTTGGAGTTGCAATCAGAAAAGAGTTTATTGTTTAACAAAAAAAACTTAAAAAGCGGTTTGCAAAGCGTGGTGAACTCAAGTAGCATAACACAGTATGCCACACTGTTGAGCCACATATACAATGGTTTCATACTTCAATTTTATGCACCCTATCGCGATGCCCCATTCCCTCCCCCCATGGCCCCATTGGCTTAGGCTTTGGAGGCTACAATCTATCAGAAGTGCCTAACTGGAATACATTATCTCCGCCCCTGTTTGCTTACTTTATACTAATAAGATCCCTCCCCTCCTATCCTGTTTATTAAGACCATATATGTACATACTTACTGTTATGTCCCGAGCCTTTGCAAACGGCTCGGGCGTTTGCAGGCAGTCCCGGGCAGGTGCAAAGCTGCCCGGGACCAGACAGGCTGTCGCCAGCGCCGTGCGCATGCGCGGGTGCTGGCGCGGGAAAAGTAACCCATTTACCCGGGAGTTGCCTATATAAGAGGCTGCGAGGCGTTTGGGCGAGGCTGAAGCCATCTTCCTGTAAGCTGAACGCTGAATAAAAGAAACTGAGAACTCCAGCTGCTTCTCGTGTCTGTTTTCCCGCCAAGGACGTAACACTGGCGACGAAGGTGGGATGCCTTGCACTACCTGGAAAGGAAAAAGTGTAAGCTTACCCAAGGAGTCCTGAGCGGCGGAAGAGGAACGGCGTCGACTCGGCAGCTGCCCGCCAATCCGGTGCGCATTCGGGGGTAGGCTGGCTGATAGACCCGTCTCCTGAAGATCCGAAGATGGCGAAAATCGGAAGGCTTTCGGAATTCGACGTCTCACATCCAGAGCGGTGGGAGTCCTACGTATCCAGAATGGAGAACTACTTCAAGGCAAATCAAGTGAGGGAAGATAGCTTGAAGGCGGCCACCCTGCTTTGCGTTTGCGGCCAAGACGCCTTCGAAATCGCAGAAAATCTTGTAGCACCTGTTCCAGTAGAGTCTGTAAGCTACACAGACCTGAAGAAGCTGCTGAAAGAGCACTTCCACCCCAAGGTGTCCGTTATCTCATGGCGCCACACCTTCGAGCAGAGGGATCAACGGTCCGGTGAAACAGCCAAGGAATACATCGCCGCGCTACGGAAGGCCGCCAAGCCCTGCGAGTTCAAGGACCTCGAGGAACGACTGAGGGACCGATTCGTGTGCGGGCTAAGGCATCGAGAGCTACAACAGAGACTTTTTGCCAAGGAAGAATTATCCTTCCAAGACGCCTTAAGGGAAGTCACCGCAGAAGAAGCAGCAGGCGGCGCCATCAAAAACATGCGGCCGATCAGAAACAGTGCAGAGGGTGCGTCCGTGCACCAGGAAGACGTCCGACGAAACTCCGAGGAGGATCCGGACGAGGAAGTCGACCGTCTACACCCCGCGAAGGAAGAGAACCAGAAGGGAAGCTCTTCGGCTCTGCTCAAGTGCATCGGCTGTGGAGGTCGCCACAGGAGAACCGACTGCAAGTTCCGCTCCGCTACCTGCCGGGCATGCGGCAAACAAGGGCATATTGCAGCTGTGTGTCTGAGCCGACGAAAGGCACAACCCCAAGAAGAACGCCTGAAAGGTACCAGATTCCCCAGCCAGAATAGGGTAGGGTTTTGCGCTTCGCGAAGAAGCATCTGTAGAACAGGCACACACAAGCCCATGAAGAAAAAGCTGTCACTCAACGTGAAGCTACAAGGGGTTCCATTATCTATGGAACTAGACACAGGGTCTGCCCTGTCCATCATTTCATTGCATACATTTAGGAAGATTTGTTCCAGTAGTGGGTCTAAGGCCAAGTTAAGGCCTTCTGATATTGTATTAACAGATTTTCAGAACTCAAGAGTGTGTGTTAAGGGGGAGGCCACCCTTAACGTGCAATACAAGAGCTTTGAAGGTCCACTAGACTTATTAGTAGTAGGGGGTGAACGAACGAGTCTCATAGGACTCGATTGGTTTGAGGCCCTGGGGATACACGTCACAGGACTCAACAGCTTACAAACACTCGACCTACAGGAAGTCTGCAAAGAATTTGCAGATGTTTTCAGCCCCCAGCTGGGCACATTCAAAGGACCACCTGTGTCCTTAAAGCTAGACCCCACTGTCACTCCCATTAGGATTAAAGCAAGAAGGGTCCCTTTTGCTTTAAAAAGTAAGATTGACACTGAATTAGACAAACTAATCCAACAGGGAATCCTAGAACCTGTTGATTCCAGCCCATGGGAGACCCCCATTGTCACGCCTCTAAAGGCAAATGGGGACATTCGCATTTGTGCTGATTACAAATGCACACTCAATAAGGCATTGCAGCAACATGCCTATCCTGTTCCTGTGGTCAGTCACATCCTGGCCTCTCTCAAGGGGGGGCGTGTTTTTGCAAAGCTTGACCTAGCTCAAGCATATCAACAGCTGCCTGTTGATAATGATGCTGCCATAGCTCAGACTATTGTGACCCACAGGGGAGCCTTTAAGGTAAAAAGGCTGCAGTTTGGAGTGAATGTCGCTCCTGGATTTTCCAAAGCGTAATGGAAAACACACTACGAGGTATACCAGGGGTCTGCCCCTACTTTGACGATGTCTTGATTGCAGGAGACTCCACACACATTCTAGCTGAAAGACTTAGGGCTGTCCTGTTAAGATTCAGGGAATCAGGCCTCAAGCTCAGAAAAGACAAATGCAAGATTGGGGTGCCTTCTACTGAATTTCTGGGATTCAAAATTGATGCTGCTGGGATTCATCCTGCTGAATACCAAACTAACTGCTATTTTACAAGCACCCAGGCCAAAGTCTAAGGCCGAACTTCAGGCCTTCCTAGGCCTCCTGAATTTCTACAATTCTTTTCTTCCACATAAAGCTAGTGTAGCTGAGCCTCTTCACAGGCTACTAGACAAACAAGCTGTGTGGCTGTGGTCACAAGCACATGAGGCTTGCTTTAAAGAAGTCAGGCCTTGCTCACTTCTAACAGTGTTCTTGCACATTTCAACGAGTCTCTTCCTGTGTGCATCGCTTGTGATGCATCCCCCTACGGGGTTGGAG